CAACATGAGGAGGAGCATTACGAAGAAAAACATTTATGAATAACAATTTCATTTTTCACAAATCCACAATTAAGCGTAATCCAAATGATGGAAATGCATATAAACATTTTAACAAAGATGCATAATTTAAAGGATTTCACAAAATACCATACTGACGTCCCAAGTAGATCACCTATATACCCCACCAGCGTCTTGATGAGTCCAAATAACCTCTGCAGGTCCAAACGTACCTCACCGGCATACCGGATGAGTCCAAATAGCCCATACCGGATAAGTCTAAACAATCCCTGCAGGTCCAAACATACCTCACTGGCGTCCTGGATGAGTCCAAATAGTCCCTACTAGCGTAACCGGATAGGTCCTAACAATCCCTGCAGGTCCGATCATACCTCACCGGCGTCCCGATGAGTCCAAATAGTCCCTACTGACATAATTGGATAGGTCCTAACGATCCCTGCAGGTCCGATCATACCTCACCGTCGTCCCGGATGAGTCTAAATAGTCTCTACCGACATAACCGGATATGTCCTAAAGATCACTGTAGGTCCACTTATACTCAAATTATCTCTGAAACTCTTTAAATATCAGAAAGCAACAATATCATATATCCAAGTAATTGAAAACATTAACATGAATTCACTTGAAACAATTTAATAACAATCACTTCTATTGAAATATCTCTAAGTAGCCATTTAAACATTTTATGCAATAATTTATGAAAGGTAATAGTTATGAAGAACATTCTTGAAATCTAACATGATAATAGTCTAGTATCAATAGACGAACTTTTATGAGAATCCAAAATTAAATACGAAATTATCACAATTTATGGAATTACCAATTTGTAAAATCTCATTTCATAGGCAATACTACAATCAAGTGCAAAAATATCAGTTTTTCAAATAATGAAGCAGACATTTGCATATGAATTTTTCAATGTCTAAATATTCAAAAACAATAGAAGGAAATATCATAATTTTATTAAAAGCGAAAATAGCACATTTATTTCTAATAATTTACAGTAGTGAAAATTCCTAACAATCGATAAAATATCACAATTTTACTATAAAACAAAAAAGAGTTATTTTTCAAGACAATACAGTCACTTATACATAAAACTTATAAAATAAAGATGATAGACTGAAATATTACTATTTTAAAACAAAACTATTTTTCCGAAGGATAATGTCACTTACACACAAAACTTATAAAATAAAGATCCTGGACGAAAATATCACTATTTATTAAAAATATACTATTTTTCAGGAAGATGATCTCACTTACACACAAAACTTATAAAATAAAGATCCTGGACGGAAATATCAGTATTTATTAAAAACATACTATTTTTCAAGAAAATGATGTCACTTACTGTTGCTCATCAGATTTGATTTATCTGACCTATATCTAGGTATGGACCTTCAAAATGGACTAAGAGATTCAAGTCCTAGAGTCCCTAAATATACATCAAATTGAATGATGAATATCCAACCCTTTATCAGGCATAATTAAGAAAATTCCATATTATTTAGAGAGAGGGTTCTCAAGCATAGGCTTCAAACTTTAAAAAGATAAAACTATAACCACTTACTGATCATACCTCATCTGGGACGCCGATGAGGTATGATCGAACTTGCAGAGATTGTTAGGACCGATCCAGTTACGCATGTAGGGACTATTTGGACTCATCCGAGACGCCGGTGAGGTATGTTTCGACTTGCAGGGATTGTTTAGACCTATCTGGTAGGGGCTATTTGGACTCATTCAGTACGTCGGTGAGGTACATTTGGCCTTGCAATTGTTTGAACCCATCAGGACACTGGTGGGGTATATAGGTGACCTACTGGGGACGCTAGTAGGGTATTTTGTGAAATCATTTGAATTATGCATCTCTGTTAAAATGTTTATATGCATTTCCATCATTTGGATTATGTATAACTGTGGATTTGTGAAAAGTGAAATTGTTATTCATAAATGTTTTTGTTGGCAATGCTCCTTCTCATGTTGTTTTTTAATCTACATTCTTTAG